TTCGAAAAATTTTGATTTAACTAAAAAATTTCAAATTATTTCAAAAAATTGCTTTCGAAAAATTTCCGTGTCCCTGCGTGTTTTATTATTATATCACGTGGGGTGCACCAAAAAAAAAAATCCTTAATTTATTACTGAAATTATCAAAATGCCGATCATGATTTTTTTAGGGTCCAAAATTTTACTTACTGATTTTCCCTCTCGCGCACTCATATCGACATATTATCATCTTTAACTGCGCAAGGAATTATATAAAATTGTAATATGCTAATGTTTACCAAAGTTTTTGTCACGGATAAAGCATGCACTTAGGAATATAACCCAATAAAAATCTCAATTACGGTTAGAACCTCTTTAAACCCGATTTGTTATGAAAGAACCCATATATTAAACTTTTATTATAATTAGAAATTTGGTCGCTGTTATAAACTACATGTTGTTTTAAGGATTTTCGCACTGTATAAACATAACATCTATCAATATTTTACAAGAATTATTTTTTTTTGTTTGAGCGGCGCTTTATTAATAAGTAAATTAAGATTTAAGCGATTGTAAATCTTAAAATTTTTTTAAACATAACTAATCTAAATATATCATAGTAAATGATATGAATCTTACAATTATGGTTTATTACAATGAGATTGACCTTACCGATGCCTTTTACAGCATCATGACAATGATTTTAATGAAAAGCAATAACAACCTGTTTGCATCCACGGTCCCTGCTGACAACCTTTTCACTTTAGTCATCTAAAAATAGCATAGACTATAGACTTGTGCGCAGAGTATATCAGTAACGCGAGGCTTATTTGTGTAATCAAAATAGTGCAACCTGTCAAAATATAAATTTTCTATTGGTTGAAAAGAATTTTCTCATAAAAAGTCCGAGACATGGAATAATTACACAAATGTTAAAAAAAAAAGGATTTTTTTTTTTTTTTTACCTTTGACAAAAACTCTCACTAATCATCCGAAAAAAAAAAATTTTTTTTAAATGATTCATGAATTCCAAAACTTTATCATTATTTGCGGATACGATCATATTAATTCACCTAATCATTCTAAGCAACTTTAATGTGCTTAATAGTTACATTAAACTTGTGATGAAGCGAATATTATGTGGTTATATGACAATTATCTTTTTGATTGGGGTTGGTTTTAGGATGTACGATGTACCAATGGTCGGAAAAGATCGGTAGGAGCGGGATCATATTAATAATATATTATATACATAAATTTCATATACGTATACGTATGTGCATGCTTGTAAATTTCATTTTAGAAAGAAATTACGTATCCGATTATATATTCCTCAAAGTTTGGAAATATTATCAAATAATGAGAGATCTTTGCTAAACGCTCGTAAGTTTTACGGAACCTATCTCGAATGAAAATACATTGATCTTTGATATTTACTAATAAAATATTAAATTTCATTTAATTTAATCTGTAAAAGAGAAATCTAAAGAATCCAATGAAATTAGATATATCCCATACATTCCATCACTTCTTAACCCTAATAGGCCAGAATTATTAAGATGTGTGATCGATTACTACCCAAGCAAGAGACACGAAAATTGTATTTATAAAACGCAACAAAGAAAAAAGAGGTTTACAGTAAGAAAAACTTTATAAATAAGGAATGATCAAAATGATTTTGCGATATATAAAAATTTATTTTAACCGATAATCATGACAGAAAAAAACGACGTCTAAATCAAAGACATTTAATATAATTAATAATAAAAAAAATGAAGACTTAAAAACTCAATATAATAATGGGTAATTAAAGACGCACTACTTAAAGATGACCTCGGTATTTCATTCATTCAATTTCTTTCTTTTATAATTTCTTTCTTTTATAATAGATTTGATTACGATGAACCAATTACACAACAAAATATCAAGGTTTTTCATCATAGTTTAATTCAACGACCAAGAACTACCAAACAAAACCTCACACCTGAGCAAGTTTTACATTCTGCACGTGATGAGCTAGGATGGAGACGAAAGACAAAAATTAAATTTAATACCAAATTTGCAAATAATTAATCACATTTAAGTTATTGCTAATTCACTAAATCCATAAAACTAATATAAAATTTCCTTAGAGTATATAGAATTAATTAATATTAATGATAATTAATCCAGCTATTATATATATATATATATATATATATTATTCCAAATATAAGATTTGTCAATTGAAAATTATAAACCAAAAAACCTTCAAACCAGTAATAATAAATTAATGAATTCGTATAAATTATTGCTTTTGGCTATTCCTATTTAATATAAAGTTTATTAAATAAAATTAATGAATTCGTATAAATTATTCTTTGGCTATTCCTATTTAATATAAAGTTTAATATATTGTATATGCTAAGAAAACGGGAGCCATTACGTACATACAAGATCTAGTTATTAGTGAACCTACTATACATATAAAATATCGCATATTCTCCTATACATGGAATGGAATTATAAATAGGAAGGATTAAATATTGTTATATTAAAGTATGTATGATGTCTATTCTAATTTAAAAAATTTCCGCTGAAGATGCTCTGGTATAATCATGATAAAAATGTAATCATTCAATTAAAAACCATGCCGATAAATATATAATAAAAACAGTAAATATTAATAAATATTAATAAAATATTAGAAGAATCACCTACATTTCATCCTGTTGCAATAGTCATAAAAAATTAATTCATAAATTTGATATCACGTACACAGTACATATTTATTTATTTATTTTAGCAATTGATTGCAAACTTGTTATATAATCTAGTGGATGACCACAATTCATGCATGATTAATTGATAAAAAAAACCTTGTTTAAAGAATATTACAGTATATATTTTGATAAAATATAAAATATATATAGGTCATGCATAATATTCTGCTATATCCAATAATGGAAATTTTATTATTGTTGAAAAAAATGTACAGAATAAACATGAATTCATTAAAATATTCTATCAAAGCAATGTCTTTACAAAAAATGTTCATTGTTATACCAAAGAAAAAGAAGCATATAGGAAAGTATCTGAAAATGCTAACTCGGTCA